AATAATATCATTAAAATAATAATGATATTAAATTTATTTCCTATTTTTACCGATGTTATTTTATTCGTATTTATTGACATTTATTACAGTCACATTATTTTTGAATTTTTAATAATATTTTTTGCACCGTGTGTAGAGAAACGTACCGCAAGAGACGCAGATCTCCATGTTTTTGAGACATAACCACTCGTTGGTCTTGCTGGCGCCGACGATGTCCGCGATGGATGTTGGTCAGTTCTTCGGCCACCCTTTCTTTAGAATCTGTCGGATTTTATCCATTAATTAACAGGAGAAAGTACAAAATTTTTTGCGCATTTAATCGCAGTGAATAACTACAGAAAATGCACGTGAATCTCAAGAACTCGTGCTCACCCTATCCAGTCCGTAAATCAATTTTGTAAAGTACAGTTTGCGCTTCTCGTGCGTCTCGGGATTCAAGGATGCGCGAAGAATCTGGCCAAACGATATACGTTTTCATTGCTGCACAAAACACCACCGTGCTTTCGACATTTTCTTCCGCTGAATGACTTCTGTCAGTTTCCGTCAGTGCTTCCCTTTCAGTTTTTCTACTTTTGCTTTCCCATAAATAATCTGGCACCCGAATCTAATCTTTTCGTTTTTATGTTTCTACTTCTTTATAGAAATTCGAACACATACTTCAAAATTACGTGTAAATAAAAAATTAATCTAATATGCAATTGAAGGTAGCCGCGGAAAAAATTAAATAATTAATGGAACCGAAAATCGCAAAACTCCTACGAATTTGAATTAGTTTAAGACGACATTTGCCTTCCATTTATGCCCTTATGAATTTCTGCGAATTTCGATCATGATGGTAAAAACTAATACTAAACTGAAGATTGCCGTGGAGAAACTGAAGGAGTGAAAAAATAATTCAAATATTCTTAAGTTGGTCTGAAAAATTAAAAAACTTCCATACAAATTCAAGTGGTGAAACGTTAAGAGTTAGCTGGAAAACGAGAAAACCCCTTACCTTCACAAAATACCTCACCATCACACTGTGCCCGGGCCAGCGCCTTCCACCTGGTCTGGATGAGGTTCTCGAGGATCTGCAAGGCAAATTACTTGATCTCGGGGTTCTGCGAGTATTCCAGCATAGCGTGGGCATGCGTCCCCGCTCTGAGATGCTCATTCGGCGACTTTTGCGCCTCTGGCTGCTCATACTTGGCGGTGGCGCCATAAAACATCTTTTCAAGCAGAACGATGTCTAGTCGCTCGGAAAACTAGAGGAGCTTGCTGGCCTCCGAAGGACTCCAGGTTAATGCAGCCAGGCTGGCCGTTGCCCTCCTTGCGCAGGTCGTCAAAATCATGGTTTGAAAATAGCCGTATGCAACACGAAGTCTGCAGTCTCGAACCCAAAATGACGTTTTCTGACAAGTTTACGCTGTTAAGCACTCGTACACTCGTAAATCACGATAAGTATGAGGCGATTAAAGATTTCTAGTTTTATAAGCCATACTGAATAAAATAAAACTCCTAAGGATTATTATTGCACCCAGGAAAGTAAAGAGTTAAGACGTTGTAAAGTCAAAATGCCGTTGGAAACTGGGTGCTATGAAGACACATTTCAACGAAATGCTGCTTTGTGTGCGTTAAGTGCGCAACCACTGCGCATAAGCGGTGTGCTGTGCAGGTTGTCAGGTGGCGCTGCTAACGGTAAGTGCTAATTGTGCGCGATTCTGACCGGCTACCGCAGTATGCAAGTCTTTAAAGACTACCGCAGTATGTAAGATTGTATAATAATTTTTATATAATAACATTAGGTTATGATACGTAGTGTTTTTAGGATAGCTGACTAAATAACGGACAGACAATTATGGTCCAATTTCCTGAAATCCATACAATACCAGAGCTTTTTTATATACAAGTACCCTTCCTTTACTTTAGATGCTATTCTCCAACGGTTAGCTTGATTCCCGTAGTTGCTCCGCGGGGCCGTCGGAGCGCACTGTTCACGGTAAATTTTTCAAAACGCATAAATATTAAAGAATATACTTAAAGCATCCGATATGCAGCGAAGTGTCCCATTTTTCAACACATGCTTCAAGCATTCTTGGCTACACTACAGACTCTGTACTTCAAGCACACTTGACTCGCTAAGTAGTTAACGTCCATTTGAAAAACACAGATCCAGTAGTATTAGCAACTTCCGGTTCGAACTTGGAACTGGTTGAGACCTTTGGGTCTAATCTAGTACGATTATCCTCATTTGGAAATCGTGACACCGCACTCGAACTAGTATGGAGCTTTTCAGTGTACTCAGCAAGTACGAGTACGACCTTTTGACTTGGGATGGAAAGTCTACGGGACGTCAAAAACCAGTTAACGGAGCGCAGCTAAGTAAATATGTAGCTGCCACCTTGCGCAGGTTGTGGGGCTCTACTGATTTTACCGTAACGGCGAAGAAATACTTATTGGTAATTTACGGCTGCAGCTTGCAACGCATTATCCGGTTTTTAGTCGAGTTCGTTTTAATTGCGTTTAAATTGTTGAAGGTAAAAGGCACACGTTTAAACTTTAAAGTTTGTCCTGTTGTGATTTCTACAAATTATTTACAACTTACTGTAAAAAAACTACACATAGTAATCTGACAACTATTCCAGTTATGAAATTTGTGCAGTTGCTGCTGCTGGGCTGCGAAGTTTCGCAATGTACCTAAATCTGTGGAAACTGCTACAAGCAAAAACTGAAAAACAACGGGAAATTTTGTGTTTGTTATGTTCAGTTTTTGTAAACGTGGAAACTTCTTGCGGGCTATGCCGCCGTTCGGGTTTCAAACCTCATGTTACCAAATTTGACAGTTTCACAGGCAGGTGACACCGGCCGACACGACACCAGCGGTTTCCGTGGCACAGTAATAGCGAATTCACACAAACTAACAATACACAGCAATCCCAAAATTGGCGAAAGTCGAAAACTGGATTTGCTTTTAGTGTTTTCGGAATTGCACTTTCAAACCACAAGTAGACGTGAAAAACTGAAAGCCAAAAATTTTGCGACCACTTCGTTAACAAATTTTAAAACCTTTCGGTTGGCCTCACTACGTTCACCCCGTGCGCTACATTGCGTGCTATTTACACGGTAAACTACCTTTTCGGTTTTCGCTTTTCACAGTCCCTCATGGTCCGATGTAGGAAAACACTTTGCAGCGTATTTTCTGCACAATAATTTTGCTATGTTTTAAAGACGTGCGAGTTATTGTAAACATATCTGAATTCCAGAAATTATTATTTTAAACATTATTATTTTTATTGTAAACATATCTGAATTCCAGAAATTATTATTATTTTATTATTATTTTTTTATAAATCCCAGCAATAAATTCCTCTGAATTTCGGAAATTATTCCCAATTCTATGTCCAGAAATTCACGGCGCGACAACATAATGGTATTTGATCCGACTGTTTAAAGTATGTGGCAGCCTCTAAAACGTCCGTCGTAATTTGTCCCATAATGCCTCTACGTAAGGCCTCTACGTAATACCTCTACGTAATACCATAATGCCTCTACGTTATACCGCCACCTGCATCTTCGGGCTCTGTAAAACGTCCGTCGTTATTTGTCCCAGATATGCTGCCCTCTAGGTTTTCTAAAATCTGCGACTGTGACCGGTAGAAATGACCAACAAAAACTTCCCAGACTCCCTATATACAGACTGTACTGCCCCCTCACCTGACCATCGTTGAAGAGGCAACCTTCGGCAAGAACGATGAAATGAGAGTTCTACACCGAAATCGTAATGTTTGATTTCGTTCACATTTAAGCACCTAAATTGCCGCCAGCGTTGACAGTATATCACCAAGACGAAACAGAATATTCATCAAAAATTAATTCTTATAATAGGAAAATTACTTAGAATGAATGAATTAGAATGAGTTCTGCTAAATTAGAAACTCTATTGAAAAGTTGCTATGTGTGTGTTGCTTTAGGGAACTTAATAAATTTTTGAGATTCGAAATGTGATTTTTGCATGAAAAACTTTACTTGTACAGCTAAAGAAACAATTTAAGCAGTTGTAGGAGCAACGAAATATTCGTATTTGTCTGGGAGGTTTAACCGGTTATGGATTTTTGCTGTACTTTTTTGTTGCACCAGTTGTAGATTTTTGCTGTAACATCCATTTTACTAATTTTCGGCAGCTCTGCAGAAGACAGATTATGTACATGAGTTTTAAATATGATAATAACTGTAAACATCGTATAATGCAATGGCATCAGAAACGACCTAAATATAAATTTATCTTATATTCCTTATGTTTATCTTGTATTCTTGCTACGCTTCAGTCATGCAGTGCCCGCCCAAAGCGATTGCACTTTCCAAGAAAGGGGATAAAGTAAGTGCGGTTCAGTTCGGTTCCGACCAATCAGAGAAAAGGGCGTCTCTGACCAATCAGATAAGGGGGCGTGTCTGACTAATCACAATAGTTAAATGCTATTCTAGCATACAATGCGAGCAAGAAAGGAAGTTTAATACGGGTTTAGGGTATGCGTTGTAGCGAAGACAGCGAAAACCGGTTTGTACAGCTAGTACGCGCACAGACAGCCACACTCATACGTGTGTAAGTGAATGCGAGCGGATTTACCCACTCACACACACATGTGCGCGATCGATCGATACAGCAAGGCAGCACTCCGCTTGCGCTTTTTGGCAGCACCGGAATGCGCTGTCTTCAGTCTATTTATAGTCACAACAGAGAGGCTGCATTGATCAACCAGCCTCAGCGGGCAAAAAAGGCTGTTCGCTGGCTTTTTAACATAGACCGTAGCCTCCTCATTTAGTCAGATTGTACATACGATGGACTTCAAAATTTTGTTACACTCACAAAACGCGCGCAACGCGCTTGCAGCTTGCGCATTTCTCAACCAAAACCATCAACCAATATTTCAAACAAAAGAGAAAAAAATACAAGAATTTTGATACCAAGCAGGTTGTTCTTTATGAGTTCTAAGAGAAAATCGAGGCATCTGAAGTTTCTCGTAGACATAGCATAGGATTTTTCATCCACGGTTTGGTTCCAGTTTTCAAGCAGCACGTCTGCTTGAAAAATGTATCAAAAACGCATTCCGGTTGTTGTGATTAGCGTTTATTCGCGCAACTGGTTTCATCTCAGCTTTCATTGCTGCTAAGTTATAATCGTTTTTGTTTTCACTTTCTTTTTCTCAACTTGAGAAAACACGCACAGAGTTCCACGATTACACTGTGCAGTCTGTGCTTTTAAAAACGCCCGGGGCTGCAGAGCGTTCACCTGTATGCCTGTATGTAACAGTTGAAGACGTGACGAAATAAGCCAGCTCAGATCCCGCTGCTGTATTCGAAGTTCCTTCTGCGCTGCCTTTATTGATTTGTTGATTTGTTCTCATTATTCATTATTTAACAGCCATGTCTAACGGAATTCACCGAGGCAACAGTGTCGACGTCGTGGTGACAGATGGCGTCGTTCGCTATGGACGAGTGGTGGATACAGCTGACAACGGGTTCTTCGTTGATTTATTCTGTCCTACCGGACGACGCCGTTTCTTCCCTTTCGGCAGCAGCGTCTTTCTTTCTGACTTTCGACGTGCCTTATCCAGTGATATTGTGGCTGATGCGTGGGCCGCATCGCAGCTGCCCTGCCCCATTGTGGAAGTGTTGATGCGCGAGAGTCTCTCCGGTCCTTGGACATGGTTTCCTGCCGAGATGGTCATGCCGCCTCGTAGTGCTGCTACTAAACGGTACACAGAGTTTCATGTCGCCGTTGTCCGTTGGGGCAACAATGCGACTCGTTTGGATATCGTTCCGGTTGAGCGCATTCGCTTACCCATCCCGAAGGCGCGTTGGGCAGCAACACGTTCGAACATTATGCCGGAAGATCTACGTTTCGCCGCCCGGCGCGTTGGGAAGTGGACGTTTGTTAAGCGCAGCGTCAAGTTACCCGATGAATTTGCCTCGATGCCTGTCGACGAGTTACGCACAGTGCTGCATTCTAACTGCGCCGTGAATTATGTTACGTTTGTGGAGTTCAGAAACGAGTGTTTGTATTTTCTGAAGCGAGTTGGGGGACCGCCCACGGATGGAGACCATGATCCCGATTTTCCGGTAATACTTTGATAATCTTCGTCGGCTTCGCCTCGATGCTCTCGTGGTTTACAGTCGATTCCCTGGATAGCAACTTTTGTTAATTTATTTTTATTTTTTAAAGTTTGGTTTTTGTGTGTGTTTAAAGTCACGCTCTACGTAGGCACTTAGCTGCGATTAGCTGCTCTTATCAGGAAACTTTTATAATACCGGTTTCACTTTTTGTGAGACAAAATAAGTGAGCTCTCGCGGTCACTCTACTTAAAACGATGCGAATTTGGTTGAAACTGACTGCACCAGTATTTTTTATTTTTCAGTTTTCATTGGTATTTTGCGATTTTTGAAAGCAGTCCAGGAAATCTTTCTTTTTTTGCCTTTTATTTACAGCGGTGCGTCTGCTAAAATGTGGTAGCTGACTTTTGTTGGTGTTTGTCAAATCAAATTAAGTTCAGTTGGTTTTTACCACAGTGTTTGAGTAGTTTAGGCGCGATTCAAGTATTACGTAACGCGATTTTTCGTGATTTTGTACCACCCCCCACCCCTTGTAACACCGCATAACAAAATTTTCGACCCCCTAACTGCATACGTAACAGAGAGCCCGACCACCCCCCTATTAAATTTCAATTAAAATATATTAATTTTTTTCGTTTTTTTATGGGGTGTCGGCCCGCACGTAACAAAAAGTTTTGGACCCCCTACCCCATGTAACAGGGCGTAACAAAAACCCATGACCACCCCCCACCCCTTAGCGTTACGTAATACTTGAATCGCGCCTTAGAGCATTGATACGCAAAGCATTGTTTTAACTGGTCACTCAAAGTTAGTTTATACACATGTCCAGTACCGGAATCTGTGCAATGGTCTAACGACAGGTATTTTGAAATTAAAATGGGTTCAGTATGCGACTCTTTTGGAACACGCGCCACGCGGAACCCTATTAGCAGTAAATTTAGGTGCACTGTGAATCTGGCATTAGTTAGGCAAAGTTAGTGCGGTTTACATTGGACACTACTGCCGTACTTCAGCTTTCGGTCAGGAGAGCCAAATGTATGAAGAATCTGTAAATCCCATCGATTTAGCACTTTCCCATCAGTGTATTAATAATTAACTGAGGGTGATAAATTGTTGATCTTTGACAATGGCGATTTGTTAACAATTTGTGGAGCTGATCCAGTAAATTTTTTATTTTAGAGCATTTGTAGAAAATGACACATTGAAACTTTTTTTATTTTATTTGAAATAATTTGCTTTTTTGTTACGCTGATCTGTGTTTGAATTACTGTAACTGCTCCACGCATCATTTTTGAAAGGGTCTTTCAAGGTCACCTTGAACTCATGCCTGTACCGGTACCGCCATCCGAGGGATGGTCTCAGGGCAGATATTTTATATTAATTATTACAAAATGCATGTGGGACCCTTTGGAGCATGCTGAGTTAGAGGGTGAAATTTGTTTTTTCAGTTTGCTCTGCGGTTTTATCTACCCACGCACCACTTGGCGATTCGGCCATAATATACAGTAAAACCTCTCTATAAGATACAGGCACGGTTCCATCAGTTTCGTATGTTATACCGGGATGGTTGGACTTTTTGTAACTTTTTTGTTACAAGGGATGGGGTCGGAAGGATTTTAATCCGCTGCGGGCCCACACCCTAGGGTAGAAAACAATCAGAGCTCTAAAGTGTTAGCGGTGGAAAAGTATTTGACTCTATGTATCATGTTTTCCTGCTTTTCCGAAAGCCGTGTTATTATGTGGCGAAGTTCTAGTGTAGAGCGTACATTCTTATTTAACACTGGGAAGGTCAATTGCTCTGTGGGCAGTCGTTTAAACAGGCAAATGGTTGATTGGTTAACTGCCCATAGTAGCGGGGCTACTTCATGGGTGGATTAATTCCTTTTTTTTGGTTTAACGCATAAGTTAACGCAACGAAGCGCTGTATCACAGACCAGTGGTTGAGCGCTTCTTTAAGTCCCTTACCGATTTTTTTTATTGTAGAGCGACTGGCGATTTCCATTCTTTTGTTTTTCATTTTAATTTGCAGGAAGCAAATTGGCAGTTCCGTCAACAGTTGATGGAATGCTTTTCTCGTCTGATCGGCCTCTCCAAGCTGTTATGCGGAATTGCCGAAGAGACAGATGCATTCCGTGTGCTGCCGCCCGAGTTATGGCTTGACGTGTTCTCCCAACTGGACACGATGACGCAGACCACGCTGCGCGCTGTCTGTTCAACGTGGAATCAGATTCTGGGTTGTCCTCTGCTAACGACGACGATTGTCATCGCAGGTGTTAAAAACATCAGAAATGCTGCACGACGAGAATATCGGCTGACGGCGCCCCTCTTTAAATATCTGCGGTCAACAACACAGCGTCTCATTGTGGTGGATTGGTGGAACGAAATTGATTACGAAATGCTGCACAGTATAGTGAACATGATGCGCTATGTTGCGGAGAATAACCCAGGGATCCGGTTAAAAGAGGTTTCGCTGGTGGGTTTCCACTGGATTCTTCCTATTAACATCCTTCTTGCGCTGCATGAAGAGGATGACTGTGGGCTACATCTCAGTAATGGCTATATTGTGAGCAATTCGGTATCCTACAATATTTATGATGTTAATATCCGGGGTTTCGTTGCTATCTTTCGGGGATTGATGTGCGATTCCATAAGGCTGATCGGTGGCACAGTGAGCCCGTTCGTCGACGCACCTCCATACAGATTTTATTGTGCATTTCCTTGCCGGATTCGAGCTGCTCGACTGATGGTGGATGATGATTTGGAGCGCTCAATCTGGGATGTTTTGGAACTGGCTTTACCCATTGTTAGCGACGCGCAACGGGAAACTGTGTCTGAAGTCTTGGCGTGGGTGGCCGCTCAGAAGAATGCATCTCCACGAGTAGGATGGGCCTGGAATGATGCAGTGTGCAAAGTAAGACGGTGTTCATTCAAATCGCGTTCTTCTTTGGAGTTTGGACATCCTCAGCAGGCAAATTTCAACATCCGTTTTTCTGGCAAATGTACCGAACTGTTCGTTGGTATACCGGAGCGCAGCTTTTAATACTTCGCTTTGCCCATTATTTTAATCAGTACCGCTTTAGGGATCAATTTATTAATCACTTTTACTGCATAGATGCAGTGCTGGTCTTAACTCCTTAGATTGCACACTGATAAGCTGCGTAGGCTGCATAGACTGAATGGAAATGCATAGACTGCATTTCAGTCAGCCGTGGTTGTTCATGTAGCCGCCCGCCACAGAGGCTCTCAATTTGATAAAGTGATTAATATATTGATCCCTAAAGCGGTACTGATTGAAATAATGGGCAAGGCGAAGTATAGTTGGAAATGGATGGTAGTCGTTATGGTTGCAAAAATTAATGAAAGTTCATGTTCAACGGGCAGAACAAAAACGAAATTCAGACTTCAGTGGGCCTGGGTAACCGACCGAAACGTTAGGGGGGGGGGAGGGGTTGGCTAAAGAACGTTAGTCGTATATTCTACCCGCGGTCGCCATATGCGCATGTTTGACAAATGACTGCGTCATGATTAAAGCAGATCAAGGCTCCATAGACTGCTATGGCACACTGATTTTGATTTATCTTTCTGCAGAATCCACACAACAAACTCTAAAGAAAGAGCAAAAAAATTTTGAGTTTTTTAGTGTAAACGCTGTTATTAACAACTGCAAAGAAGGTCTTCAGCACGTTTCCAATAAATATCGAGTCCGCACACAAAGTCAACGAAACGGTGGGTCTAGATCGCGCGACCTTTGTGTATGAATTTAGCCTAACTGGGGGCCAATTCATAAACTTCGCGACCATTTTAAAACATCTCTCTGTAGTACATCATACATTAAAAATCTTAGAATTTTTTTCCATTTCTGGCCCACCGCCAGTTTGCTGAACGCTACCCTACTAACTAACAACTTTCTGACCTATTGCTGACCGACAACATGCTTACCCAACAAATCGTTGAAACGACAACTCGTTGGTCGACTGATTGTTCAACGACTTCTTGCTTACCACATTCCGATGACCAAGAAAAACTTCCTGAAACACACTAAAAAAACCTCAAAATATCCTAAGCAAACCTAAAGAAATCTAAGCTAATAAACGGTAGAAACATAAAAAATCTAACGTAGCAACCTGGAATTTAGGAGCCATAAAGCATTGTGCCGATGCGTCGATGGCTTGCCTTGTCGTGACGTAGCCCCGGAAGTAGGCGTGTTGCGCTTATGCCTTTTACGTACATAGTACTGCCGTGGTAGCTGTCATAACTACCTGGAATAACGCCGTGCGGCCGTGGTGGCGGTCGCGGTAGTAGGAAAATGCGCTCACAGCGTAGTGTAAAAAATATTTTCAACTTGAGTTGACGATACAGTGCTATGGGTTACCGTATGGCATTTTGATTTTCCGGAACGCTGCAAATGGTTACGCTGCAAACGGTTAAAATTTCGAAACAGAACTTTTTTTACAGTGAGCCGTAACCGTTTAGCATACAACTCACTGTACGGGAGGGTGCTGTTTCGACGTGGCACCACAGGCCGATTTGGGTTCGAAAAAAAAGTCGGAGATTTAAAAATCGGACGACATTTGTCCTTAACTTTTTTGCAGCAGTTTGATTTGCAAGCTGTAATACAATTGATACGAGTACAACAGGAATCGTGGAGCGCGGTAACAGAAAGAGCCGTTTCTTTGGCAGGTATTATGTGCAGCGCAGGCACAGGATCCGCGCCCGCAGTCACACTTCCGTGGGAAAAAGTGGTGTTTGGACGGATTGCATAATTTGCCTTTGGACAAGTTGTCAAGGATTACGCTGCATTTTCTAATGCACCTGGCAAGCTCCATTACCGAGTAAAGACAATGAAATTACCCCATGGCCATCGCGATTTCAGTGCACGGCTTGAGCTATATTTTGCAATTTGTGAGTAGAAATTTGATTTGAGCTTCTGTTATCCCTATACCTGTATTTACTGCAAGCTTTAAATGCTTCGTCGCGACCAACTGATTTTCCACTTAGTTGCTGCTCCTTCATATGCAGTTCTCCAGCTACGATCACAACATAATGTTTCTTAACTTGATCGGATAACTTTGGCACAGTTTTCCTCTGATTTTATTTTGCTTTTGTTGGACGAGCTATGGAAGCAAATCAAATGAAAAAAATGGTGAAGATTGGCTCGTCAGGCTTCCGAAGTGGCTCAGTTACCTCAATATGTACCAAACCTTGATGCGCCGGCTCGCGCTGAGTCTGACCTCTAATAGGCTAAGTCTGACCAGGGATGTCGGAATGGCACCTGTGACCTGCGTGACTTACAGCCAGTACAGGTACACCAAAAATATTGGCAGAATCTGATCATTATCGCACAGCGTCATCCATTCAGCACTCTAATCATGCACCATACGAGGATTAGTTTTAACAATGAAACCGTTCGCAGCAACCAGGTTTTACAGGCCAAACGTACATTGTGATTCTGAAGAAATTATTGGAAAGCAAAAGTAGTGCGCACAATGGCAAAGTTGATGGCTTTATTACTCCTTTTATACTCCAAAGGAGAAAATACGTTATATATTTTTGTGAAAGAAATGGCTATTCTCACCACCCTGGCACCTCGTTTGGCTGTTCTCACCACCTTTCCAGAGATATTTTTACACCACCTTTTGACTATTCCCACCACCTTTTGACACCTGCTATTCCCACCTCCTTAAACAATTTTCTTATTAGCGGGTGGCCGAACAAAACGGCAGTCTCGGTTCTTGGTCTGTCTCTCGCTAACCACTGTCGTACCGCAAAGTTTTGCGAAAAATTCCGTTTTCTTATCAAGTAGTTTTTCTGTTGCAGTTTTCTTCTGCCTGACAGGAAACAACAGCAGATATCGGTTTAATAATTATACCAAACTTTTCACCAACACAAAAACTCAGTAAGTGTAATTGGATGTTCAGAGACAATCACTTACATCACCATACTGGTAGTCCGTTTTATTACACTTTTTCATTTTTTCGCTAATACATTTCTCTAATTTTCAACTGGATGTAGTTTTCTTAATTTAGCCTGAAATAAATACATATAATAGATTGCTCGAAAATTAAAATGCACCTTTCTTAGGAAGCATTCAACTGATTCATAAACCCGTCAAATAATGTTTTTGTTGGCTGCGAGTACAAAATATCAAAAGTTAGCACTGAGTCCCAACCGGTCTAGGAAAGTTAGTAAATCACTTCGCGCGAAGCGCGAAGGTGACGGTGGTTTAAGACCGTTTTCAGGTCGGTCAGTGTATTTTGTACTAGAAACTTCTCCAGTTCGCACAACGTCAGCCTGTAGGCTCGCGATCGCTCGCACCCGACCATCCCGCTCGCTCGGCTCGCTCGCATTTTTTTTCTACTGCTCAGCTCGTTCGCAAATTCGCAAAACGACGCCTGCTCGCTCGAAGTGCTCGTGAGCCAAGCCGAGCGGCCCGGCTCGTGCAGGGCTCTAATCTGTGGACAAGTCTTTTAGATGTGAACAACTCATCGTGAAAAAAAGTGCAATAACGAGGTGAGAATAGCCAAAAGAGGTGTGCACAGGGGGTGAGAATAGCCAAAAGGTGGTGTGAGGTAATAGCCACACCCTATTTTGAAATACACGATGCAGCCACACTGGACGAATAGAACGGCGGAAGCTAATATTTCTTCACCTTTTGCTTGAAAGACTCGACAACACAGGTAAATTTTGCTAATCGACCGAAGCGTAGCGAAGGTCCTTTATGTTCAGCGCCGATATCTATGCTACCGATACGATACACGTTCTTTGTGGATTCAGGTGCTTAGCGCGACGTTCCCAGTGGAAATTCATTTTGGGGTTTATAGCTCATTGTAAAGAATAAAGTCTCCTCTATCAGAATATGGCGCTATCATGTATGAAAAAAAATTTTTTAGGTTAAAAAACGATTTTCTGTTATGAGTGCCGAAGGGGGAAGCGCTGCTCAACAGAGAAAAAGCGGCTAGCGCTGCTTTTAGACTATCCGGGTTATGAATCCGGTCTTTTATGGTCAAGAGCGATGGATGGGATTCTGACGAAAAGCTATTGTTAGCGCAGGTGAAGTATTCAGCCGTTTCAAAGGAATGCTGAGCCGAAGCAGTTAGTGACAGGATGGTGTGACAACTCAGTTGACCGACGGCTATTGTCTTTGCATGCCGGGCGTGCGCGTCTGTAGTCTCTAGCCCTTCTGTCCTTTCGTTTGCTTCGCTCAGCGTTCCAGCTGTAGATTTTCTGTACAGAACATAGCGCAACAAAACAAGGTAGACTTTAAACGCGTGTCGTGAGAAATCAAACTTAATTTCACAACAAATTAAAGCGTTATCAAAAAATTGCTCAAAAAGTGTCATTAAATCGAACACTACCTGCTGAGCTTGTTACACATACCGTTTTTTGGTATCGTGTAAGCTTTGAGAGTTATAGCAGAAAATGTTCAGGGGCGGCACCGCCCCACCACCCCTGGATCGGTTTTTTGCACTTTAGATTTTTAATTGCAATGATATTGAAATTTCCAGTGTGTGATAAGCTTTCACACTGTGTCCGCACGGAATAGCGTTTCCAAAACTTTTTTTGGATGAACAGTACTGTACTGACACCCTGCACTTGGAGAAATTTTGTACAGTATGAGCAGCACGGTACTGTCGACAGGTGGATTTAAAGCCGATTGCGTTCAGCCAATAGCCAGCAGTCTGCATGCAGTTGCAAGCCGTGTATGTGAGCAGTGAACGCAGTCGTACAACGTACGCGTGGCTGCACAGCTAAAACTTTCTCCGAGTGCAGGGTGTCAGTACAGTACTCAGTAAATTTCACCCTGAAATTTTTGACTTTAAAACTTCATAATTAGTTTACTGTAAGCAAAATAAACTTTTTGCTAACGCTATAATGTAGAAAAATCATTTTGATATATCGTCAAGTGCGTTTGATGTAAAGTCGTGCTATGACCGTGTTATATGAGTTACCGCAAAGGAACCAAACCACTGAGAACCTCGCGTTAGGTCTAAGGTATTTGACTACTGTAGAACAGCAGGAAATACGCGGCAAATGTAGGCAGAATACGTAGGAATGCGCTAAGTTGCTCCAGAAAGCAGTAACATAAAAACGAAATAATTAAGTCTGGGGAATATATTTTGGGAATACAGGTAGAATACAAGTAAATGAATCAATACACGTTAAAAAACGTGCACAGCCCACAAGGCTGCATCAATCTTGCCTGTATTCCATGCTCCTACGTATTTTGTCTGTACCGCAAACAGACCAGCAAAAGATAAACGCCCTGAATCTGATAATATTTTTCGAGTGGAAGATGTCATTCTCATCCTATATACGGTTTTCGATAAATAAGTTTTGAAAAAAAACATCCTATCTGTGTGAACTGCGTATTCTTCATACAAGCAGCGCCACCTCGTATATATGTATTCCTACAAATACTTGAGACATACCATTGGATGGAGAAGAATCAGCTCTGTGTAGTACTAGTGATATTTTTTTCAATTGGGCAAGTATTTTTATTCTTTTTTATTACACTAAAGTAATAGTAGTGACAGTTCGATAACTCTTTGATCCGAACCCCTGTGATCGTGCCCCCGTGACCGTTGTCTCCAAATCAATACCCGTTTTTTTTAGGACCGAGAGTTGTTTATGAACCAGTTTTTATTTTTCTAAACTGTTCTTTGAGTCGCTGTCCGTGCCAGCGATAATACTTTATAATTTGTGTAACTAATAATTTTTTTGTGTATTGTGTGTAGTGTTGTTTGTAATGTTTCCAATGTGAGCAGCCCTTTCAGCATTGATTGTGATCATTAATATTACGAAGTTATGCCTTATAATTCACTGCCGATGAGGATGCCGTTTTCTGGTGTTGTTTATAAGGAATATGAATTTTGCGATTTAAGCAGTTCAATCGGTTTGGCATTTCCTGATCTTAAAAAACTAATTAATTCTTCCGTATATGCTGATTAATGACTGTTCGTAGTAATCACTATCCTAATCTGCTAATTAATCACTGTCCTCGGACTGTAATAAAAGTTCAGCCCGTTTGAAGGATTACTATGGTCAGTTTCTTTTTACAGCTGTCTTCAAAATGCTTTTAGCGAGCGTCATTATTCCTAAGTCATGTTTTTGATCGCTTTAAACTGTTAAAGATTTACTGAAATTAAGCTATCCACTAGCAGCATCGTTTGTGTTACTGCTAAATGGCATTTTTAGCTCTGTAGGAGTGAAAATTTTAATAACCTTTGAATTTGCTGATCTAAAAAGGTAGCAGTTTAAATTTACTGACTTTTGTTCCATTCAACCGGACTCTGGAAATGTTTTCCAGGTCACCTAGAGCTTTCAGTTCTACCGGCACTCTACTGACGCTTCAGAGATGTATTTCTTGGTAATTCAAGGTTAGAATTTTGTGTTCGTATTTTTACACCATAAATGTGTAGCTGGCAAGAATGCTGACATCTTCACGGTTCACGGTGTGAGCATATTTGCCGGGCGAAAATGCTTGCGAGCATTTTTGACGGGCAAAAATGCTCACGAATAAGATCATGCTTGTCATATGCAGATTTTTCCAGCAAAATGGCACCAAAACTTAGAGCTGTTCATAATACCATAACTCAGAAATACCATAACCCAGAAACCACCATAACTCAGAAATGTTTATAAATAAGAGTTCTTTCGCTAAAAGTACACTTTTGCTGAAAAGATAATTAAGGTAAATGTCCCAGCATTAGTACTTAGTGCGCCTACTCTTTATATCCACTGACATCTGATTTGTTTTACTCGTGGTGAAACAGTTTTGAATAGTCAGGCTGTACCAAATTGTTTTGCTTGCGTATATATACATTGGCGCTATAACCATTTATGCGCGCAGAATCTGGTTCGAGATATGGCAAAACATAACTTTTAAAATTATCAATAACAGTTTTAGGAAAGTACGAGGAAACAGCTTTTCATTCAGAATCATCTCTTCAGTCTGTAAGTATTTGTTTTTCTTCAGAATCATCCCTCTAGTCTTTATGTGCTTATCGGTGACATTAAAATCACAAAAACTATCGGAAATTATCACAAAAACAAAACTTAAAATTATCGGCAAATGGCTAATG